ATAAAATAAATAAATAAATAAATAAATAAATAAATAAATAAATAAATAAATGAATGAATGAATGAATGAATGAATGAATGAATGAATAAATAAATAAATAAATAAATAAATAATAAGAGACTTCTTGCGCTTTATAAGGATTTTGATAGTATACTCTGATTATCCTTTGAATTTCTTTTTCTTGAAATTGAGTCTTCCCTGTTTCATCTTTTAATGTATCAATTTGTCTCTTTATTATTATTCGTTTAGGTTTATAGGCCTTTCATCTTTTAATTTATCAATTTGTCTCTTTATTATTATTCTTTTAGGTTTATAGGCTAGCCATCTTTCTGGCTTATTTGCGTTTTCAAAGAAATTTTGATTCATTCTCTTAATTTATTGAGTTATTTCTTCTGTTTCGTTTAAGTTTATGTTTGATCAGTGTCATATTATTTTGAATTTGTTTTTTCTGTGGGTATTTTTGAAGTTCTGCTTCTAATTTTCCATAATTTTCCTTCAATTTCTGGTATTGTTGCTTTTTCATCTTGTTTTTCTTTGCTTGGTATGTTATCGCTATTCCTCTGAAGAATGCTTTTGCGGAAGACAGCTCCGCTTCTGATAACATGCTAACCACATCATCTAGCTTGCTCTTCATTCTTCCTGCCTTCCACTTGCAACCTCAGTTTCTGCTTTTTGCTACGAATAGTACCATTTGCTACTAATCTGCTGTCTTGGGCTTCTCTCTCTAGCACTGGTACAACTGAAGGAGACGACACCAGAGCACTGTGTTGAGTTTTCACACTCCATTTCGCCTGTGTGTCTGCCCCGTTCCATGAAGACAACCTCTGATGCCACCAGCAAGCAGTGTCACATTGCAGGGTGGGGACATATGTATGAAGGTGAGATGGATGTGGTCAAAACAGACATGAAGACAAGAACATGCCTTGCTATCCCTTCTGTATTTTCACTGATCCATGTAGACCAGGGCTGTAGCTCCACCTGCAGGAAGGAGTGGAGTTGCTTCACCGCGATGTGGGTCACTTCACATGACATCAGCCCTAGAGTGATGTTTTTAAACCACATCAGGGCTTCCCAGCTACTGATGGCACAAGGCTCAGGAGTTGTCCTGCAGCAAAACCAGAGCTTTCGGAGCTGCTCCTGAGGCAAGACCAGCAGCGCTGCCCAGCCAATGCCATGGAGGCTTCCCAAGCACCTGGCGCTAACCAGCTGGCCCTGTTCTTTTTGCCTTGGGGTGGCCAGGCAGCTCCTTCTCCCACTCATAGCAGAGGAGTGAGGCTGCCCTGACCCCAGATAAAACACAGGGAATACAGTTCAGGGAACTAGAAAATGTTTTGGACTATAGCCTGCAGAACCCAGCATAGCTCTTTATATGTTCTTGATAGGCATGTAATCGAGGGCATTCTGAGAGACGATTCTGTTTAATTTATATTGGTTACCAGTTGCTGCCCGGGCCCAATTCAAAGTGGTTGTTTTGACATATAAAGCCCTAAACGGCTTGGGCCCTGGATACCTGAAGGACCGCCTCCTTCCATATGAACCTACCCGGCAGTTAAGATCTATCCAGGGGGCCCTTTTGAAAGAGCCGTCCCTCGAGGAGGTAAGAGGGAGAGCTTGTAGACAAAGGGCCTTTTCGGCAGCTGCCCCCAGACTGTGGAATGCCCTCCTGACTGAGATTTGTCTGGCGCCGACGCTGATGACATTTCGGCGCCAGGTCAAAACCTTCCTGTTCCAGAAGGCTTTTAATTGAAATAACATCAACTGTGGGTCCTGATGGCAATTTTTAGAATATATATTTTAATTGCATTTTAATTATTTTGCCCTTTTATTTTGCCTTTTTATTGTATTTTAAATGCTGTAAGCCGCCCAGAGACCTTCGGGTAGTGTGGGCGGCATATAAGTTAAATAAATAAACAAACAAACAAATAAACAAATAAATAAATAAATAAATAAATAAATAAATAAATAAAAAGAAGGGGAGTCATTCCGGCTGGTGGTTCTGATTATTTCTTTTCATGGCCATCCTTTTCTTTTGCTACAGGAGCTGACCGACTGTCTGTGTATCTGCAGGAGGCAGATATGCCCATCATTCCTCATGAGCAATGCACTTCCCGGGAGGTGCACGGGGATCGCGTCACGCAAGACATGCTTTGTGCTGGATACCTGGATGGAAGAGCTGATGCATGTCAGGTGAGCCCCTTTTGAGTGGAAGGCAGCACAGAGATTACCTACAGTAGCCCAGTTTTTTATGAAGCCAGCCGTGTGCACTGGGAGAAGCTTAGATGGGAATCCCCAGGTAAAGACAACTTTGCCTTGAGAATCCTGGTAGGCAGGAAAGTCTTAATAAACAAACAAACAAAGACCCCACTCAGTCCCAGCATCAAACTGTGATTATACTTTGTATTCCACACGGCACTGTAAAGAACCATTAGCTGTTCCTACGATAACCAAAGGTCAAAATAAATGGCATGTTAGGCAGTTATTTAGAAATGGTAGTCTCTCAAGTGGTGAAGGACATCTGTTTGTCTTAGCATGTGTTTTTCCTCACCTCATTATCTTCCTTTTTTAGTATGCTTTCCTCTGTGATTAGCTTTAGAAAGTACTGTAAATGAAAGTTCCGCTTGCATATCTGATTGCTAAAGCACTCTTCCAATCCCCTTGTCAGAGGAAAACATGCCAATAACAGGAAGTGCAGAATCCCCTTAGTTTGACCCTCAGATGTCAAATCCTCCTCCCTTTTTTTGTACTGCTCCAAAAGGCTAACATGCTATTCCACCCACAATCACAACCAGGTATGGCCAGTCCTAGAATTACACAAAATGAAATAGTTGCCTCAGGTGGCAGGTTGTGAGGTGGAAGCAAGATACTGGAGCAAGATTTGTGTGCCACAGGGTGTGCCTTACACCCCATTTGGATGGCAAGCTGTCTGTGGTAAAAGATGCACTGAAAAAAGCTTCAGCTCCTGCTCCAGTTGGGTTTTGTATCTGAAAGAGGATGAGTGCTATATTTGTCTCTGCCTCAAGCAGCAAAACACTTTCAGTCAGACCTGTAGGCAGACTCTCTATGCTCTCCACATGTTGCATGCCCGGTAGATGGTTGCCCTGTTGAATTTCTCCGTAGCTGTTGCAACTAAACCCCAGGGATGGAAGAGTAAATCCACCTTCTACCTTCTGCCTTCTCCTGCTTTATATTATGATGAGGCACTCTGCACATACTTATTATATGTTTGTTACATTTTTATTCAACTTTCCCCTCATAAATTCAAGGAGGCATCGACAGCTCTCTCCTCCTTGCTTTTTCCTTACGCCTCCGTGAGTTGGATCAAGGTGACTAATTGGCCGTAGTCACAGTGACTAATCGGCCATGGTCACCTAGTGAGTTTCATGACTCAGTGGAAACTAGAATCTGGATCTTTCTAGTCCAAGTGCAAGATGCTTATCCAGCCCCTTCAAAACAGGCATGTAGTCAAGCCTTTAGATGCTGAATGCAGACTAACACGATGATGAGCAACATGTGACCCTCCAGATATCGTTGCATAACAATTCCCATAATCGTTCAACACTAGATGAGGATGATGGGAGCTATAAGGCCAACAGTATGTGATGGACTACAAGTTGCTGACGCCTACCAGACTAGGGATATGTGTGGGACGAAATGTTTACCTTTTGTTTTGCTATTCCTCCTGCCCTACCCAATTTTTCTTCATAATACTGTACAGTAATATTCTTCTTTGGTCTATTATAATTGAACAGGAAAAATTAATTTATGGGGCGATGGGGAGTCAGAGCTTTCATGCTGAGATTCTTTCTCAGTGAAGGCTGACATCTCTTTTTAAAAAAACACGCTCATTTTATGAACCTTGAAATGCTTTAGGCACTGTTGCAATAGTTTCATGACACTAAGGGAAAACAAGAGCAACTATGATGATACTGATAAAAATTATTGTGTTTAACAGCTGAATGACTGGAACCCAAACCCTGACTGTTTGAACAGAAACAAGCACCCATAGCACACGCATGTGTTTGCCTGTGTGCGGGCATGCACGAAATGGAGCTGTGGGGAGGGGCAATGGTCAGGCAGCTAGCCTGCAAATGTTTTCCCCTCCTGTCTTTCAAAGATGTAGATGGATTGTGGTATTTTTACTCATTTTCTATTTGAGGTCTTTTCCTGTTTGTTCTTGCTCTTCTGTTTTAGAAAGAGACGGGCAGATCTCTCCCGAGTCAATACACATGAAGCTTCCTCCTTTTTTAGCTTCTGATTTCTTCAGAGTGATTCTTCTTCTGCGCTAGTTAGTAACTCGGCACTCAGCTGCTACACGGTACAAGCATAAATAGGAAGTCAACCTTGTATAGATCGCTACTAGGGAATGGAGGGCAGCGTAGTAGCGGGTGCAGTGTAGTGAGCTGTGGCAGGCAGAGGATTTGAAACAACTGCCAACTTGAGTGACCAGTTCTGAGAGAGGGAGCTGGATTTGAACTTGGCCTTTTGCTGATCTGTTTCTCTCTGTTTTGTGCTGCAGGGAGATTCTGGTGGGCCTCTGGTATGTGAGGAGCAGGACGGGGCCACCTTACATGGCATTGTCAGCTGGGGCACAGGCTGTGCACACGAGAACAAGCCTGGGGTCTATACCAACGTCATTCACTATCTGGACTGGATCCAGAAGAACATGCATTAGCAAGCTGGAGGGTACAATTCCAACCCCCCAAATGTGTGCATGTTGTCTTCTTTGGTTCAGAGGGCTCTTTCTCCAGCTCTTGTTGCTTATTTTGTGTAAGAGCAATTCGACCAAGCAGCAATGCAAAGACTGATAATCACCGGGTTGAAAATATAAATAAATAAAGGTTGTCTATGTGATTTACCATGTCATAAACCAGACTTCAAGCAGTGTGGTTGTGAGGTCCTCTGTCACACACTTTCTGTTCTGAGGGAAAGGGAACAGAATCCTAATGCAGCTTGGGATTGACTGGTTGCCTCTTCTCCCTTTCCAGAGGACCACTGATTGTTCTCTTGCCATTTGCCCTCAAACCCTTCACTTTCATCCCTAATCTTCCTCATAGAACATTGACACAATCTTTTCTCTCCTTTCCTCCTATATTTTTGAATTCAACACAACATCCTCAATGTTATCCTGGGGGGGGGGGGGAGGAATCTGAGTAGTTATCAGGTTTTATTTTGTTTTTTAAAAGCACATTACCAGAGGTTGTGGGCCTAAACAGTGAAACCAATGAATGCACAAATTTGGTTCTCAAGCGAATAATTGTAAACATAAGAGTGCCAAGATTATGGGCCTAATTTGGTCACAGTGGTATCTGTGGCATGTTTTTCTGAGAGGAGCTACAATGTGCCAGAGGCAGGGAAAAATATATGCATCCTTCCAAAAAAGAAATGATTCTATTAATCTTCACAGACTCTGAACACCAGAGGGCAGCTCACGACCATGACGTGCCTGGTAAAGGACCCAAAAGCAGGGAGGGAAAATTTGCACCACCCAAAAGACAGGGAAATAATTGAACACCACACTGTTTTAGGATAAAACCAAGTCCTGTCACAAACACTGGGCATGTTTGGCCTGGAGAAAAGAAGGTCCAAGGAGAGGCACAGTAGCTGAAGTGGTGTCACACAGAAAATGAACCAGACTCACTCCCTGTTGCTTAAGAGGGCAAGAGGTCTACAGTCAGCAGTAAGAAATAGCAGGAAAGGTGATTTTGCCTGTACATTAGAAGAAACTTCCTACAGATATGTATTCATTGACAGTGGAAGCGTCATAATATCCTAGATGGTAAGAGGCAGAATCATTTGTCTTCTGTAATCATTTATGCAGAATTTTCTGGATGAAATCTATCTAAAACGTAATTTGATTTCTGAAAAAGTCAGCTTCTAGAGTACTTTGGGTTTTTTGTTTCTTTGTTTTGTTTTGAAAGAATGATTGGAAAATAGTAAAGTATCTGCAAAAGGCTGTTACGGGGACAGTTGGCTCAAAATTTCATGGACATCCCTCTCCTACCTCTTCCACCAATTGTGAACAGTGTCCAAAACTCTGTTAATTAATTGATGTGATGTGCTTTCTAAACCCCCAAAAGAAAAAAAATGGTTATTGCAGCAATTATTTATAGAGCCTCAAAATTTCCTCATATACCTGCCACCTAATCCAGTGGAGAAGTAGTGGTTCTCCAAATGTTAATAATCATCACGCGCCGTCAAGTCAGTTCTGACTTATGGCGATCCTTTTCAGCATTTCCCAGGTAGAAAATAGTTATACGTATGCGGTTTACCATTCCCTTCTTCTATGGGTGCCCTGGGACTGCTGTGCGCACAGGCTGGCTCTACTTGCTGGAGGCACAATAAGCAATCATACTCCCAACCTCTAGCTCTGCAGCTAGATCCCTAAATCTCTGAGCTATCCACCCCTTTGATCTCCAAATGTTGCTGAGCTACAGTTTCCATAATTACTGGCCAGTGGCCATTCTCACTGGGGCCAAAACCTCTGGAGCCTAAAAGCACTTGAAGGGCTTCTGATTCCTTGCTTATGCATTGGAAATGCGAGGGGTTAAACCTGGATTCTTCAGTATGGCAAGCACACTGTAGTTCCTCCCCAAAACAGCTGGCAGTGGTTTGAAAAGGGCACGACTTTCCATGCACACAATTCCCTCTCTCTCTCTCTCCGCTGATCAAAGTAGTACTGGAAACCACACAAATATCTGCTGAATCTGTTTACCGGGGATGACAAATCACAACCAGCAATAAAACATTAAAAAAGCATAAAGTTGCATCCAACCCTTGATGGCAGTGTGTGTGTGTGTGTGTGTGCATGTGTGCGTGCGCGCACGCGCGTATAGAGCTTGGACACTTTACTTTTTTTGGACACTGGCTGTGCTAGCAAACTGATCAAACTGATTCTGTGCATTATAACCAAAGTAACTTTTCTAGGCTCTTTCTCTCCCTGCCTAGAGCAGGTTATGTATGTTTGCGAGTCAGCATGCAGCGATAGTAGCTGAGTACAAAAAAAAAGGGGGGGGGGAACAGTTACCAAGAGTTGTTCACTACAGCTTCTATCTGACATCACCAGGAGAGAGCAGAGGGAGACAGACCATCCGCTCCAGCCTCAGGGGGTTTGTGCCAGAACAAAACAATGATGGATGTTCTGCCTGTTAAGCCTCCTTAGGAAGTCTGAGGATTCCAGGCCCAGCTCCTTATCTCCCAGCATCACTGGGCTCAGATGCTAAAGTGAGCCCGGGATCTTGGAGAAGGGCCCTCTGAGTTGTGGAATTCAGCTCTCATGGCGCCAATGGCTGTTTTTAGATGGGTGAAGGGTCAATGCTTCAAGTTTTTCTATTTTCAGCCACTAAGCTGGGGAAATTAGTCAGCCTCCAGCCTCTGCACGACTGATCCAAGAAGCCCAGCCAGCCTGGCTTTTTCAAATCCAAACCACACGGCTTTAGATTCCCATCCTCACTTATGAGGAGCCCTACGACCACTCGGTTTTGCCCCGAGTCCTCTCAGGCCTCTTCGCTCTCCCAGTTTGCCCACAACTCATCAACGTGCCCCAGGCTTCATTTACAGCCTGTCCAGTCTCATCTACAAGGCCGGGCAGAGCAGGTGGAGATATGTTTGAAAAGCTCTGATCACCCATGATAGGAGATTTCTTTCCCTCTTCTGAGAGGCCTCTCCTACCACCCCTGAGCAATGTGGATAGACAGGGTTGCCAGACGTCAGGCAAAAGGAAGACATGTCCTCCTTTTTAGCCTAATGTCCTCCGTCTGGCAGGCAAAGATAAAAACCTTTAAAATCTCCGGTTTTTGTACATTTTATGTTATAATTTTGGATGGGAAGGGGAGAGGTGGAAGGACCACCCTCCCCCTGTCTTTCCTCGCCCCCATCCACCCACCCCCTGTTACCTGCCATTGGGCAAAACTGAATGAGGCAGCCTCTGCTCCCCCGAGGGTCATACGTTCAAGGCTGGGGAGTCTGGGAGTTGGAGTTCCCGAAAGGGACTTTGACCACACAACTATTGTAATAAAATTATATTGATTGCGGTTTAATCTGGAACGATTCAAATAAAACATTCAATATGCCGTCCTCTGTCCTCTTTTTTGTCTTTCTATGTCCTCCTTTTGGTGCCCATGTACAGTATCTGGCAACCCTTGGCATAGAAGGCCGCATCTCTGGCAAGGCCACAGCCACGGGTCCTCTGCCCTTCCAGCAGTTGCCTTAGCAGCTTTCCTGCACCTGGAAAAGCTTAGCCTTTGGGGAGGAGAGGGGGATCCCCTGGGCAGCAGGGGTCCCCCCTCCCCACAGCAGAGCCAGTGGCCATGTGGCTAAGGGTTTCTGGGAGAGGCCGTGCTCTCCCCCATTCCTTTTCCAAGCTTTGGATCAGACTTGCTATAGGACCCCGTCCTGTCACCACGAAACTACTCCATTTGCCACTGAACAGAAACTGAAGAAAATAGGTTGCAGCCTCCATGCTTGAGAATTGGGGTGGTGGGGGGGGAAGAGCCAAAGGGTTTGGCCCAAGAGAGAGGTCAGCTTTCTCCCATCCCAGTGCTTTCATTATTGCATCTACTTAAAAGAGATGCATCTAGGTAAGTTTAGACCAGCAAAGCACTTGGAAAAAGAGACTCTTTGGGACAACATCTCCCCAAATCTCCCAGCGAGAGCCCCCCCCCCATTTCCCTAGTGGGGAGATTCTTGGCACTGTACTCCAAAAAAAAGGTCCCTCCTTTGGTCTATATAGCCCAAATGGCTCCATACAGCAGGAGTTGTGTGGAATGCTCTGAGCTCTGTGCGACTTCCTTTTCTCCAGCCTTAGGCCAGCGGGCCAGATAAGGCCCGTTCTCTTCCCCACACTGACACCTCAAGAGGGAAAAAGCAGAGGGATGGGAGGGGTGAGTGGGAGAACAGCAAAGGGGTCAAGGGGTAACCAAGAAACATCCTGAGAACATATTGCTCTTCCTACCTCCTTGCACAGTCATTAACTATACAGCTCCCTCAGGGCTTATCCCTCTATTCAGACATCAAAGCCAGTTTCCACTCCTATTGTCCCCACTGCCAGCTGGCTGAAGCTCAGACATGCCGGGTGGGAGAGGGTTGGTGACCCACAAAATGCTGGAAAGCAGCCCCAACCAGCCAGGCCCTCCCCATCGCCTGGGATGCAGAGCCGTCTGTTTCTAACACAACCCGAGTGACCCCGGATGCAAAGCGACAACCAGATCTGGGCTCACCACGAGTTGCTGTAGACAGGCCATGGGCACAAAAACCACCCCAAAAGGGTGGACCACTGTCTTTTTCTCCCTGCGCCCAAGTTCTTTCACCACCCAGTTTCCTGCAACAAAACACTTCTGGGAGGGAGAAAGGACAGGCAAACAAGCGTTTGAAGTATGCAAAACAGCCCGCCAAAAACCTAAGGTAAATTAGTCAAAGAGATCCTACAGCCACTAAGATACAGCAAAAGCAAGGCTAAGGCCATGTGGTCCCCAAGATTACACAAGTGTAAGAGTGAGTGATACCTTTTATTGGACCACTAAAAATCAAACAAATCACAATGTTCAGCACGGATGCTGCCTACCCTGGGTGCAGCTA